AAGGCCCGGTGCAAGGGCAACAGACTGTCACTCTACGTGCCCAAAACAAAAAAGATGATTGCTGACTTCAGGGTGGCCCCAGAAGGCACACCAGCATCCCCATTTCCTGTAGTGCTGATGAGTGCAAGCCTTCAAGCCCCCTTCCTCACCACACTCTATAGGAGCACCATAGAGAGTGTTCCAGCAATATCACTGTCTGGTTTGAAAATGGCAACGCCTCAGACCGCAAGTGCAGTGCATAATGTATACAGTGGAAAAATTCTTTGGAACCTCTCTCCACTGCATAAAAGACATTTTCCTCAAAATCTGCATCTGACAAGCCTTGAGCATTGTGGAGGACCCCCCCCCCTTCCCACCCGCTTCCCATGGACTCTTTGTCCATCTGGCAGAAGTTACAGGGGCATCCAAGCCAGTGCTTCCCAGTTCGGTAGCAGCTTTTCCCACAAGGCTGTCAGGACAATCAACACCTTGGTATCCCTCTTACTACTTAACTCCAACTGACTCCCAAACCAATTCCCCTCCTCACTGGTACTGGTCAATTTACTATTTATAGTCAGTTTACTGACACTAGTGTATTTATTGTACAGTTCTATGCTGCTGCATTATTTATTACCATTGATTACACACTCAGGCACTATCTATATATGTACAGCTTCCCTTGTCATACACTGTCCTGTGTTTTTTCACTTTTTAAAATTAACGTGAAGTATTGTGAATCCCTAATTCTATAACTTGCTGTCTGTATTTTACACCACAGTCCTGAGGGATTATCTTGTGCCACTGTTAAGTTGTATATGGAAGATAGGCTAATAAAGCTTACTTGAATTAATAATAATCACCGGACAGGAGTAAAGCAGACCATAAAAGGGTCAAACTGAAATAATTGGTCAAACAATTATGCTCATTTACAGTGAATTTATTGCTTTTATGATATATAAAAATATAACAAGTGCCCCATGTGAAATATGTGAATAGAACCATACCTAAGGGCTGGTTCATAGACCTCTGCAATTTAAAATTATTATGTGAATCACAATACAATAAATTATTTTTGAATCAAAATAGGAACTAGGAAATTTGTTTTTAGTTCTCAAATGCAAAAATGTCACTGTTTGCATTTGATTTGATGACAATTATAGCCTCAGTTCCAGGAGCAAAATATGTTGTGTTTTTCTTCCTCATCGATGATTATATCTTTGGTGTATAGTTTGTGGGGGGTTCACAAAGGACATTAACATCGTTCTGATAGTCCTGAAAAGAAAAGGTTTCTTTAAGGCAAGGTGAATGAACTATAAAACATCCCACATTATGCTTCTGAGATGGAACCAATATCTTTTTTCTGGTTCTGCTTTTATTCCTTCTTAGTCTTCTGTCCTCTTGGAGCGCATCCAGCAAGTTATCAGAAGCCGAACAGCCCTACAAATCAAACACGCTTCCTGGAAGAGAGATTTAGCCTGAAGAAATGACCATTAATCAAATGTCTGACATCTCACCCACTTTGCTACCTCCACTGTGCCGCATGAGGGGAATCAGCTGCTGCACACTGCATTGCATTATCAGTGCTGGCAGGCGTGGTGAAAGCCTCAAACAGTCCCACAACGAAGCCTGCATACTGTAGCACTATCACACAAAGCTGTGCAGGATAGCAGTCCTTTGAATACTAGCTCCCTGGGGTTACATAGGGAAGAAAGCAAGAAATCCATTGTTGACTTCAATCAAATTGAATAGTATAAATGATTTATAGTCCACTGAGTGAAATTTTATGAATGAAAACACAGAATCTAAACTATCATGTCTGAATTGTTGCCATGCTGTTGAAATACAGAGACTTGCTTAAGAAAATCCAGTTCCTACTTGCTCAAAGCACTCAGAGGGCACTCCTGCATCCAGCAATTTATAGTCTGTTCTTCCTGGGCTGTGGGAGCCAAACATCGCCAAATGTCTAGCTTATCTAGCTAGTGGGCAATGTAGATAAACAGCAATTTGGAAAGCAAAAACAAAACTCTGTTCAATAGAGAAATATATTTAAAGAAGTCTTATTTTTTAAAACATATTATTCCACCCAATTCCCCCAAACATCTTTGGCTTTAAAGCATGAACCCGACAAACCAGGTCTGATATATATTTGTTTTCCTAATGATGGGTGTTCTGTAAATAGGTTGAGCCAATGAGTTAAGGGTCTTTTGTTTGTTTTCAATTCAATAAATTGTACATTCTTGGGTTTTATTAATGCCATTAATACATATGGTTTAGCCTCTGGAGCATAAGTGAACTTCTGGATTTCCAAATAATGCAATACGAGGGTATGTGGGATGCTGTGGTTCACCACTACTCTGAATAACAAGATCAGCTCCTGTTCAGATGTGCTGTTGCCTTTACCACCATATTTAGGAGCTGATTCCCTTGAAGACATCTATAGGTAAGTATATATGATCATATATAATGATGAGAAAATAACATTGTACAGTTCATTGTCTCATTCTGTTCTAACCTGGCATATCCTGTCCTCACTGCCTTAACACGGCCTGTCTTGCAACTTATATGTCCATAGTCCTATTTTATACTGTCCTGTCACCCATCACTTAAACTAATAACTAATATTCCACTATGAAGTTGTACTTATGACTTTTACCATTGTTACTATTCTCATTGTTAAAGAGTTGTTTAATGGTTTCCATAAGATACTGTAATCACACCGAAATAAAAATAATAACTTTTATTTTTATAAATTCTGTGATCCAAATACATTTTGCTGAAGTCCTCCCTTGCCAAAAATGCTTTTAGTGCAAAAGTCATACGAATTAGAGGCTACAAACATACTTACAAAATAATTTCAGAAAGAACAGCCATATTGCATATCAGTGTTAATATAATTATACATCAGATAAAACCTAATATAATGTGTCACAGACACATCCTTTTCACACCAACTCTCATCTAATTCATTTCCATTTCTGTATCCTTTCGTAATGCCTTCCGGGAAGTAGACACTTAACCTCCTCGACCCCTACTTAACCTCCTCGACCCCTACGACTGCTGATGCCTGTAAATAATTAAGGTTAGGGTACTTTTAAGCAATTAAAATCAACTTTGAACATACAATACAGCCTAGAGATGGATATTTTAATGAAAAAAAACTATCAAAATTTTTACTACAATATTTATCAACACACCAGCTAAAGGTATAAACAGCTAATAACTGAAGTTCCAGAAGTAAACATTTAATATTTTGTACCTATGGAGCAACATCCTACATCGATCACCGTTTTACTGAGGTAAGTCGCACGTGGATTGGACATTTTCCATAACTGATGATATTCATAACTACAACAGTACTTCAAACACTTTTTGTGGCACCCTAGACTGAATGCTAGTCCCTCACAGATACCCACTAAGGATGAACAGAAAATAAGCGAGGATATGAGAATGATGTGTTATAACATCATGCACAGATCAGGGACTGATGTTAATTTCTTCATTTCCACAAACAGCTACTGATGCATGAGGCAAGAACATTTGATAAGTGATCATGTTACCAGCTGAAATAAACCAGCATTTGGAAATGAGTTAAACACACCAGCTCTTAATTCAGTTTCATATTAATGCATTTATAGGTCATCCCTGAGCTTGTCAGTCTGTATGTTCTTTAAGGATTCAGTATTTTCTCCGTAAAACAGAACTGCAATAGTCATCCATATGCAAATTCAAATGATAACTATATTCCAGAAAGTATGAACGATAAATAGATTTTAAAAAGAAAAAACAGTACTATTTAAAACTATATATCTACAGAATTGTAGTTGTACAGACAAAATGTATTCAGAATTTATTGTGCAGCTGGCATCTTGTCGAGGGTGTATCCCAGCCTCATGCCCAGTGTGGGTCATGTGACCCTGACTGGGACAAGTGGTTAGATGTTGTGGACTTTAATAATAACACTGTCTGAAGCAGTATAGGGCATAAAACTGGGGAAGATCTCGGACAGGATGCCAGTCCATCAAACACACACACTATCATGCACTGCTAGCATTTCATGCACTGATGAGACGAACTGTATGGCTTTGGACTTCAGGAGGAAACACATACAACATATGGAGAACATGCACACTCCACACACAGAGCAGAGAGAAATGTATCTAAAATTCCTTTAATAAGCATTTTTGGCCACTGATGGGAATGTTCCTACAAGTTTGATTTTGCATACTATATCAAAATCATAATGTTGTCATTTCCTCATTTAGACTACATTTTCCCAAAAATTATCAATCTTCAATGTGCTGACCTAGTTGTAAACAGGATTTTTTCTTCAAAGACCTTCGAATAATATACAAGTATATATACTGTATAAGATAATACATAAGATTTGCAATAAAATATAAACCTTCGTCTCCATTCTAAAAGCATCTGAAAACATGTATTATACAAATACGAACAAGTTATTGGTTCTACAGAAACTTCATTTAATGAGTTGTTGAACAATACGCATTATTAGCATTGCTTTGCAACACTTGTTTCTGGAGCTTCACTGATATTTGGCAAAATAAGCAGCAAATAAAATGCCATAATGACTTGTGATTGATGCAGAACAGAAACCTCACAAAGCATACGTGGTACCAGCATTTTATGCCAATATTTTTTTTTCAGATTCCACCAAGCAATCATACATTAAATATGAGTCGAATGGTTCATATTGTGACCATTAATCGTATTCATAAAAAAACCCTTTTACTGTTGAATGAAAAGCGAAAGACAATCTTGACATCATCTAAGAATATTACCCGTTACAATGGCTTTTGTTTGGCGAGTTGCTCCTCCTACTTCGATCATGTTTAAAAACCAATTGCATATTACATTACTTACGATTTTTTAAACGGTTACTATGTTATTTATCAGTTCTGTTTTACAATAGACTATGTAAGCTACATTTAGTCACAAAACAGAGTATTTTTTTTATTTGATCAAAAAAAAGACAAGTCCGTACTGGCTTATTGTGCACTCACCGTCTTCCTTTTCGTCGAAGACCGGTCTCTTTGATGAACTGTTAGCTCCCATTCTTTTCTTCCACTTGCCCCGATGAAAGATTAATTCGGGAGCTTAACATTTCTTACTTTGTAAATAACAGGCAATACTGTGCATTGCACGGCTGAATTAGTGTTCCTTAAATATCATCTTCAAAATACTTTTGCCTCAGATACCAACAATAAAGCAAACGGCACAGCTATTCGAGCAGATACTTAATATAGAAACAGAAATAATTTCCTATGCATTTTAAATTGAAACTGCTGAGAAATAATTGTACTTCTTTTCAGTTTCAAGGCAACGGTGTGAAGCTGACTTTCTCGTCAAGCTGTACAAGGCATGGCCAAAAACAACCTTCTCCGTTTTACCATTCGTGCTGACGTTCATGCGGAGCAAACCAAGGAAGATTTCCCGTCCGTACCAGTGCAAGGAAAGTACAGTACTTAACTGCATTTTTTTGTAAATCCAATTAGTGATAGGTGGCGCCAGATTATTTAAAAAGAGAGTTACCACCAGCTGTAAAATCGAGTGCACAAAATGTAAAGTACATTGTTATTATTTCTGCTTCTACTGTAGAGTGGGGCTCTTTGGAAAATGGACTGTCTTCATAAAGATTGCGCTGCCAAGTTCAAATAAACAGCTAAGTATGTGACGTCAACCTGTGTCTGCAACCACATTCTTGGTTTTGCCCTCATGATGGTACATTATGGGATGAAAGCTCGCTCTTCAAACATATCCCACCATCAGGGGAAGGCATGTCTGAATCTCTGAAGAGTCAAAGAGCAGATATTGAATGCTCACTGAGCTCTGGTGGAGAGATTAGCATCATGAGAAAGAGTGTGACACCTGACCAGAGTTAAGAGACTGCCAGTGGTCCAGGTGGGTCACGCCAGTGGAGCATCAAAGACAGGCCATGGACCTGTGAACTGGTGTTGATGCAGCTCTCACAGTACAATGGGAGGGAGAGCCAATGGGGGATGTATGAAGCTCAGCAGGAGATGACAGCATGGTGGCTGGTCCAATGAAGTAACGAGGCTATATAGGCCCTCGTAGATGGTAGACCACCAGCTTGCCACATCGACGTCCAGGAGTGCTTCAGTACACACCTGGTCTCAATGCATCTCCTCCAGCACGTCTCCAGTGGATGAGGGAACAATGTAGCAACCATTGGGGTGCAAGAAACAGAACACCATACACTGGCTTAGCAGCTGTATCTCTACTACCCAAAGAAAGGTTACAATGACCTGGCACTGCAAATCTGAATGCTATTAACAGTGTCGCAGGGTAACTTTCATGTTTCACCAAAAACACATTTCCACAACAGCTTCTTTCCAGCAGTAATCAGGTTGTCTCTTAAAGGACATTCAGGATGGTGAGACGTACTCTCACTCAATCCCAATCTGAATGTCATTGTTAAACTGGACTGTCGAATCACACCTGGCCAACTGCCCCCACCATTCAAGGCACCTTTTATGTTAATTCATTACACCTTGCTTCTCCTTTTGTTAAATTTAACTTAGGATTGTGGCTGTCTGCAGCAGAAGGCAGAAGACATGAAGATTGCCACTTGGGTAGCAATCTCCAACCTCAACAAGCAGCATGTTCACACGGAGAAAGAAGTCACTGAATCAACAAAGCCAAACCAGTGTGGGCAGTCGCTTGCACTCCAAGGGAACTGAGGACTTGCCTCAGAGAGAACAGCAGCCCAACTATAAGAGTAGACAACAGGCCAATGGTAAGGACTGGCTAGCAGTGCATGATAAGAGGCAGCAGCACAAGTACATTATTAGGACGACAGCAGAGCTATGAAGGAAAGCCACAATGAAGTTATTGCTCTTCATCCATGTTAATATCTTTGCTGCCCATGACAAGGACTGCACCCAGACCAGTCTGGTCCAACATACTATTAACACCCATCCACTTTCATTCCACTTGCTAAGAGGTATGGAGTGGAGAGGATCCACTACCAATCCAATGGAGCAGAAACTGAGTCAGCATGGATCAGCATCTCTGTGAAACAACAGCTCTTTGAGTCCATGCCACAGTGAATTGGAGCTGCTATGAGGGCAAAAAGAAATACAGCATGGGTGGGGGGGGGGTATTCTTGGTAATAGTCTTGCTTATTCATCCATGATGTCCCCATGAAAATGCATTAAAATATCAAGTTATTCACAGGATGCTTCTTACACAAGTCTTACCTCTAGCAAAGTCTAGCTAGTAAGTAAAGTTTTGGCAGCAGTACAGAAAGCGAATAAAACAAAATACAAAAACACCAGGTGTCATGTAGCAATATCTCACCCACTGGAGAAATTAATGTCTGTTCAGGGCCACTAATGATAATTAACATTAAGGCTGATGAAAAACTGTAATTTTGTGTAAAATTGCCTTTTGGGACATTAAGAGAAAAGGTTAACGTTGAAGGAGGAGGAGCTGTGATTCAGCAAGGTGTGCTTTGGACATAAAGAGGCGGGGACGGGCTCCGGCAGGCTCCATCTATATTTAAACCCTGACTGTTTCGTGAACAGCTGTAGTGTATAATAATATGCACAGGATTTCATTTAAGAAAGTTTTGCGACATCTGCTGGTTGAACTGAAGTTACATAATGGTATTTCTGCACGAAGGTGATGATTTTATAGGGGACCACATTTGAATTAATTTATTTATAGGAGCTCTGTCAAAATACAATTAAATGGTTCGTTTTTTTCCGTCTATGTTGAGGACTAGGAAAGGATCTGGGATATTATAATGCATGCCAACATTGAAAACAACACTGCACCACAACGAGGTACAGAATAAGCAGTACAGAAGACAGATGGGTAGATGGATTTTTTAAAACAATATACACATACATTATAAAACAAACAGGCTATGAGGAAAATAATCCGAAGTCAAGCACGGAGGACTAAAATACAAAATATGGGATACTCCACAAGAAAGCCATAAACACATCAAAAAAGCCTTTCCTCACCCTAACCATCTGCATAGTGTATAATCAGAGCTCTAGTAGTTTTTCCCGCTGCCTCAGGTAAAATAGAGAAAAAGAGGGACCAAATTCATCTAAAAGTTTCTTTATTCCCACATTTACAGTACAAAGCCCGGGGGGAATATATTCTTTTAATACGAACATATTTAGAAATGTTTGTTATTTTGGTATTATTCAGTAGGCCTATGATATTTTTAAGATAAACGACTACAAAATGTTAATTGGTTAGCCCTAATGCAAATGCTATTAGCATTTCAATGATAGGCAAAGCGATGTTCACTTCCACAACGTTAATTATTCATATGCAAGAAAAGGAATGAAATTTCTGTGCAATGCAGGCCACGTTTCCATGACCCAGTATTGCGCTCTTCTATCCCCACAGTTAACCAATCAGCAGTATGAATAAAAAGTTTATTTAATCGTGTCTTAGCAATTTATGATTATGATGAATGAACAATGATTAAATTACAGTTATTTGTTTTTTAACCATACAATCTGTCATTGTTATTTATCATTCTGTCCTAAGGCTATAATGTTTGGGGTTGTTGTAACATGATGTGGACTTTTTAATTATTGTGCCCTAAGACTATGACGCTGCATTTGTTAATGCGTAGGCCTACTTTCTAAGTGAGAAGCGATATCAAGTAATTCATATGAATTTTATTAGGTAACTGATGTCTGGAACATACAGTATTTGCTACAACACAACCTCATAATATGTGCATATATGTCCAACAGTTTTTAATAATAATTAATGACTGGCACTTTTTCGTAGGAATACTATAAGTACGTCTTTCGAAAAATCAGGGTGGTTGGATGCTTAGGCATTGCAGGTTGGGGATCCCAATCCTGCCCCTCTGTTAGTGTAGGTCGTACATGTTGTCTCCGTTTGCTATGGTTTCCTCTTACAGTCCAAAAATGGCGCTTAGGTAAACCGGTGCCTCATAATTTCCCTTAATGCATTAAAGTGTCTACTGTGATACCTGGGATGGGATGGGGGCTCAGCAAGACATAGGGTACTGGATGGACGATTAAGGATCAGTCATGGCTACCTGAACAAATTGCCTAATTAATTTTGAATATGACATTTGATAACTATGTGAATCACATCATTAGTAGGAAATTTAAATTGAGACGTTAACAATTTTAACTGCAATTTACAGTATTACTGTGCCACATGAAAGAGACCCAGGTCTATAATTAAGGTCATAATATCTGTGACAAATACTATAGAACAAAACAAACATCCGTTCGTCTTCGCACCGTTGGTCAGGGTTGCCGGAACAGCAATTTAACACTTTGATAAAAGCCTAATGACACTGGAGTACTCTAACAGACGACCTGTGTTTCTAATAATAATAAAAAAGGAAAGGGTGTGCGTACGACTGGGCCGCGCTGTAATTCAGTATCTTTATTCCGAAATTCTCAAACACCGAATGATGTCGTTAGTCATAGCTTAAAATAAAAACCTCTGTGTTCAAAAAATGTTAATGTTTAATAATCATCATATGTTGCGTCATTCAGTCGAAGCATCTATATAATAGACATATCAATTTTCAAGAAAGCCATAAGCATCGAGCATTAGGCAACACGAACTCAAGAACGAGACATGAACAATGTATAGTATACATATCCATCCAAACGACCCATCTACTGTAATACCGTGGCTTTAGAACATTTATTTATACAGCAAAGAAAATTAATTGTCCTCCTTGCGAAGGTGCCACCAAAGACGGCCCTGTTGTAATGTAATTATTTTATAGAAACTAAGATGTTTTGTTTTAATGATATGAATTTCATCATAATACATTTACTTGTATTCTAGTTTGAGGTATCATGGATAGATTTTTACATTTTTGTAATAATTGCATGCTTTTAAGTGGCATGCTGTAGCCGGGCCGGTGGAGGTGATGGCGTCATTCAGTGTCTCGGTGTAATTGCTCCGGTGGAGGTGATGGCGTCATTCTGTGCCCTGGTGTAGCCTCCCCGTGTTTGGAAGTAGGAGAGAGGAGGATCTTAGGCCGAGGCGACGTGGCTCTCGCAGCCGGGATTGAGCAGCGCCAAGTCGGACTACTCAGCCGGGCAACATGGAGGCTGTGGCGGAGGAGCTGCGGGCCGGCTCCCAGATTCCGGTCACCATCGATCAGATCATTAACGACACGCTGGTTGTGACTCTTAGCTACCGGGACAGAAGCTACACGGGAATATTACTCGATTGCAACAAAAAGTAAGTGATTTGTAGCCGAATTATAAGCTGGATAGTAATTTGGAGCCGGTTTGTGGGCCTGTAGTTATACAAAGGGAGGACGGCGGAGGATGTTAGCACTAGGCCTTAATCAGCCGAAACAAAATAATTTAAATCTGATATGTAGTTTAACGTTTGGCAGCAGCTGGCACGTTAAATGTACAATTAAGAAGTTTGATTAGTGAACGATATGTGTTGGTTTTTTTTTTTTTTTTTTTTAAATAAAACCACAATTAGCTTATGGTGGAAATTGGGCATAACCTAGGTCAAAAAATGGTTGAGTTGGCAAATGTGATAAATTCTGACGATTAAAATCTTATATACAGTCGATGTTTAATTCACATTTTGTTAAAGAAACTGCTACAGGATTATTCGTGTTTGTTTATATTTTTTAATACATCAAGTTACCTAAGGGTGGATTAAACAGCCCCAGTTGTAGCTTAGCTAAATCATTTGTGTCGCTTATTCATTGTTCACTCAAACTTTAAAATATCTTCACATTTTCAATTATAAGGGAAAAGGCGACTAAGGTGAGTTTTTGGACGTTTTGACGTTTCTATGTTTCTCCACATTGTGCAAAGCTAATTCCTAAACCATGCGGGATGGGGGCGGGGGGGGCGATGTATAAATGTAAAGCATGTCGATCACCACAGGTACACTGTACAGTTATTTTATCTTAAGTAAAATGTTTATTTTATAATTTGGTTATGTTGGTTCGGTTTTAAGGGATATGGCAGTGTGGGGGGTTCTTATTTTGCTAGTGCAAATGTATAGTTTAGTCTTAAAGTGTAGAATAGCATTTATTGATACTAATTCACAAAATGTCTTTTTTTGAAAACCAGCATTCCCTGGTGGTTTACTTAAATGTAATTTCCTTGTTGCACTAGTATAGCAATGTAGCCTGAGTGAGTTTAGCTGCCTTTGAATACTACCATCAGTCATACTTCACATACAAAAGGAATAGCAATGGTGCATGGGGTCAAGCTTTAAAAGGTCAGTATTACAACAATTAATATTATAGTTTCAAAATTTGTTATTCATTGTCATTTGTTTTGAATTTTTGTGATGCTGTTCCTTTAATCTGAACCGTGATGTGCTTGTATTTTTACATGCTTTTATTTCATAAACTTAAAGTACCTATTCTTTTTGTTTGTTTTTTTTTGGCCTTAAGTATATAAAAAGGAAATGAGACAGTATGAGTTTTATATCTCGTAAAATGTCAATGGGGCTTTGGTACAACCCAGAATGTACTTCATTAATTGCTATACACAAGTACATAAATACAGACGTTGATATAAAGTCAGCTCTCTGGGTTTCTTTGGATTGCAAGTGATTCATGGGGTTGTTTTGTTTGAAAAGATGGAGGGGGTTTTAGGGGCATCCTGTTGCCTTTTGTCTGAACAGTGACAGAACAGAAATACTACTATACTGTAGCTGCAGCTGTCATTTAAAGTGTGCTATCTCTTTTTAATATGGTAGCTGGACCAATGTGGTGTCAGTATTTTGAAGAGGATAGTTTTGTGATGAGGGAATAGAAAACATCCACATTGAGTGTGCAGTTCTTTTTTGTAGCAAGAAGCACACAATGCCTTGGCAGCCAAGTGTCCCAGCCCCCACTCTAGCAGTCTGTTAGCATGAACAGTATGTATTCAGGTGATCTTCTGCAGCAAAACCTATGACGTTTTATAGCTTTGGAGATGTGGTTTTGTTTTAAAATGAGTCATTGGCAGAGTGTTAAGGCTAATCACATTCTAAATTAGTGGTCATTCCACAGTCCAGATTTGCATATCCCTGAGGAAAAACCAAATCCATTGATTTGTCATTTTTTGGCTTATTACCATCGAACCCAAGAAATGTTCCTGGGAATAGATCTTTGACAGTTTCGGTGCCTTACTAAGGTTCTTTAGACCATCAGAAGTTTATAGACTTTGTGAATAATCATAAATGCGAAAGACAAATAGGAGGTTCGAGTTGGTACTGTTTATTCTAGCCTTCCAAGTTGTAAAACCACCAAACCAGTCTAACAAGTGCTGCCACAGCGTGCTTACACTTGCCTGTAAAAGGTACATTGACATATGTTTTGCAGACAAATAAACTTGCATATTTAGCTTTCTGCTCACATTTGGGGAGATTTTGTCATACTACCAACTAGAATTTTTCCTGTTCTTTTTATTACTTAATATAAATGTTAGAACTGTTTTTCTGCATAAATGCGGCCTTTATTGTTCTCCCGTACCTTCCCGTCTGTTTCCTTGGCAGCAAAATTTTGTACCTTATTTTATTATGTATTTAGTGTTTAATCTTGAAAGAATATAAAATGATATAAACAAAGTATCCCATCAGTTAAATTTAAAAAAATTAATATTGAAAATACTGCCTATTCTACAAGGAAAAACTTGCATTTAATTTTCATAAACATTTTGTGCTCCAGTGAAATTCCATCCAAACCAAAGTATCTTGATGGATTTTGGTATAATTTGGTATAAAACTGTCTTTGATGCTGACAGTATTGCAGTGCAATAATAGGAGAGAATGCCTTGTCATTGCACACAACAGGTCCAACAAAAGGCAGTGAGGTTGTTTCCAGGGTTGAGAAATGCCAAAAAAAAAAATTCCATAAAGGGTTTTTGGCTGCCGTTAACATATGATGTTTTGGAATTATTCCAGATACTGCTTAAGTACTGAAACACACTTTGGGTTTTTTGCTAGAAGTTTCCTTAATATGTGAGGAATGGTGGTTGTTACTTATTCCGCGGGGGAGAAAATTTTTTGCTCAAAGATTGAATTGATGTATGAAGTAGTGTAAATAAATGTTTGTTCAAAGACTTTTTAAAAACTTAAGTACCCTCCTCCCTTTTTGAACAGGACTGGCTTGTTTTGTCTTCAAGATATCACATCCAAGCAAGACGACTCGCCTCTTCAAAGGTCCAACAGTGATGTCTTAACCGAGGACCCTTGTTGGAAGCCATCTAGTCAACCAGAGCAGCAACCAAGGGATGAAAATACTTTACCAGAGAGAGAGCCTGGTTCAGGTCCTGAAACTGCCCCAACCCAAGTCCCTGCCCCTAGTCCAGTCCCCACAGGCCAGTTTCCTTATCCCCCTTATTTTGAAGGAGCCCCATTTCCCCAGCCCTTATGGGTACGGCACAGCTATGGCCAGTGGGTCCCTCAGCCCCCACCACGTTTAATTAAGCGAAAGAAGAGGCGGAGCCGTGAGACAGGCAGGATGACCATCAGCACCATCAGACTCCGCCCTCGACAGGTGCTGTGCGAAAAGTGCAAGAACACATTGAACAGCGATGAGGACAGTCGAGATGGACAGTCATCCAAAACGGTCAAGAAAGAAGATGCTGACATTATGAAAGACCCCAAAAAACGTGATGAAACTACAAACTATGAGAATAAAAGGTGTAGGAAGGACAAAAGGGAGGAGGAAAAGTTTCCTTCTGAGATAGTTCCTCATAGTCCAGTTATCAAGATTTCATATAGCACGCCTCAGGGTACAGGTGAAGTTATGAAAATCCCCTCCAGGGTGCATGGTTCAGTCAAACCTTTTTGCCCCAAACAATTGATACAGAATGGGCTGGGCACTCATGACCAGAGCCCCGAGCGGCTCGAAAGGTCAGGAGCCAGCGCAGCTTCAACTGTTCCGAAAATCAAATTGACGAGACCTCTGCCATCTGAACGGGAAGTTACGTCCCCAAAGATTCGACTGAGACCGAGGGCGGCTGAAGACGACAGTCTTTCGGTTTACGAGGCAGAGCTAGTGGGTGGGGAGCACAGGCGAAGTTCCAGAGTTCAGGGTCCCGCTTTGGGACATTCGGAAGACTCTGCAGAGAAGAGCTCATTGGAACTGTCGTCAGGGAGTTCAGGGGAAGGTGAGGAGCTGGAGAGGCATGGAGACCTTACCCTTCTAATAAATTTCCGGAAGAGGAAAGCTGACTCCTCCAGCTTGTCAGTCTGTAGCAGTGATAGCTTAGATGAGTCAAAGTCCTTTAGTTCTGATGGAACATCTCCAGAGCTGTGCGACTTTGCTCCTGGAGAAGACATTGCTGTCTCATCTTCATCTAGAGATGAGAATAAGACAGTTCCTCCGCTGACAGTGCGACTTCACACTCGTAGTATGACCAAATGCGTAACTGAGGAAGGACACGCGGTTGCCGTGGGTGATGTGGTGTGGGGTAAGATCCACGGCTTCCCGTGGTGGCCTGCTCGCATCCTCAGCATCAGTAGTAGTCGGAGGGAGGCAGGCAGCGAACCCAAGTCCTCATGGCCTGAAGCCAAGGTGTCCTGGTTTGGCTCCCCTACCACCTCCCAACTCTCGGTCTCCAAACTCTCCCCATTTCGTGAATTTTTTCGCTCCCGATTTAACCGCAAGAAGAAAGGGATGTATCGCAGGGCTATTGTTGAAGCAGCGAAGGCCGTGGGTCATATGACTCCAGAAATCACTTCTCTCATTTCTCACGGTGAAACGTAAGGTGAGTCTGCTTCACTCCTTTACCATCTCCTGAGTTGACCAGTTTCAGTATGGGCACTATTACTGTCCTTATCAGCTTATTAATAATAAAAAAAGAACTCAAACTTAAACTGATAGCCTACTTCTGACATGATTCAAATGACTAAATCTAATAGGAACTGAAGAAAAAATGAAATTTTGCCAATTCCTTTTTAATACCCTTAGTGAATACTGATTAGTCTCATTCACATCAGTGTGAATTGGTAAGACCTTAGATTATTTAAAAAACTTTTAACAGTTCTGTATCAATACACCTGCTTTATTCAATTTATCTAAAATGTTTTGGTTCAATTAAATAAACTATATATATATATATATATATATATATATAAATATAAAAGAACTCGCTTTGGAAGTTAATACTTGTACAGTTGCAAATCTTATATTTGTATTGCTTTCAGAATGGATAATGAGTTAATTGATTTTATTTTTATATTGGACTAGAACTTTATACGTAAGCTTCATTGTAGCACATTCAGAATATTGTTTACAACCTACACCTCAATAAGGTAGTTGACTGCTCTTATTTTGCCTGTTTTTCTGACTGCGGTTTTGTTTTCACTAATCTAGAAAGTTTTTATAATTCACTATATTCAATAAATTGCACTGCTACTTTAGATACCTAACTCAAGTAGGATGTCTTCTGTCCATTAAATCATTGTTTCTGTTTATTATGTCAGTAAAAATTAAGAGATGGGCCGATCCACATTTTTTTCAGTCACGATCAGATGAAAAATCCTTTAGGCTACTAGAAACATGCATAACGTACTATTCCACCCCATTTGTTTGTCTTGTTTTAAGTGTTTTTGAGGCATTTTGCAGTTCAATTGGAATATCTTACAATAGAATATATGAAAGTGGTGAATGCTTAAAATGTCTCTCAATTTTTCTGACTGGCAACAACGTCACTTACGCTCCGCTGCGATTGCAGCCCTCGTGTTTCACAATCTGTACCGCAAACAGCCCAAGTTGGCAACTCCCAAATCATCCATTGCGTTTTTCATATTACTCGCATTGTTTCACACATTTGTGTGCACTTTTAATGCCATTTTCCACGCTGTTTTCACCTCTTTAAACTTTGTTTTTACAAATATTGCAAATCGCTGTGCTACTAGTTGCCGTTCAAAGCGCAAAATGGTCCCAGATCGTCACCCTCTTATGTTCTTACGCTCCCCTTCTACTGCGAAGGGTATGCGCATGACGTCACAGCTGGCGTAAGTCACTGCCCTCACACCCACTGAGAGGCAAAAAACGGAACGGCAGCGTTAACAGCTTGAATGCTGCAAAAACACATCTAAAATGGGAAATAGCTGTCGTGCGATTCATTGTGCTAATGGCTCCTATTGCATGTTAAATCTATCTCTTTAGAGACTGTCAAAAACTAAATAAGAAAGTATCGGACGTGGATCGTTCACGTATGGCTGCTACACGAATATCAGATCGGTGCATCTCTAGTAAAATCCAAGCAATACATATATCCAGTTCTGGGTACACAGTCCAGATAAGCTGAATTATAGGCTCCTCTGTTTAAAAATCATATTTTTTTCTGACTATGATTGCACTGTGCCATAATTCCTCTAAAAATTTCCAGAGATTTTTTTTAAGGAGAAATATCCACATAATGGCCATTTTACCTTTCCAGATTGCAAAAGATTGACTCCCAAGAGGTTTATATTATATTTATACAAAATGTGTTCAGGCTTCTATCAGAGACAAAATGAGGATTGATTTATGCCTTTTTTTCTTTGTTACAGCTGTAATTAAATGGATCTGCAGTTTTGGAAACTCCTTTGCTTTCCTTGTATACTGAGCTGTCTAATAGTAATATAAAAAAATGCATGCCTTGGTTCCCATGTGGATTAATCCTTTCTTTCCCTCCTTCAAAAGGAGTTCAAGCTGGACAGCCAGTCGTCGTAACACTCAGTTCCTGTGGCGCCACACCTTGGGAAAGGTGGAGTTCCTGCTGTTGTCACGGAAACACTATGATTGAAGTTTGCAACATGGAGGAAAATGTCCACTCAGGTGAACGTGTGTCCAGGTTTGGGAGCAATGCCTGCACTTGGCATCTCAAGGACTATTTGGAAACGATTCCTTTTTAAAAAAAAAAAAAAAATGAAAATTTACATTATTGCAATAGAATGAATAGTGACACTACAGATCAGAATGTATTTATTCCATACAACACTTTAGTCAACCTTTTAGGACTACATACTGCTGCTGTTTTCCCTTGGATTTGAATGACTGTTCACCTCCAGCACCAATGAGTCAGTTGAATTGAGTTATCCATGTGTCATCCTTTTAAAAGACACAACTGTATGTCCACAAATGACTAATTGTCTTATTGTATGGTTGTCACTCTTCCCATTAGAAAAATGAAATGTGAACGATTGTTTTACTGATACTATGCTGTGGGTCTTACCATATGCAGTATTGTTTTACTCAATTGCAGTCTTCTTAGCCATGTATTCCTCCTTTACATGCAAAATAGGAGCTTGTCACCCTCAGATTTTGTCCAGATGTTGTAGTAATTGTTTTTTTTTAGTTTGCTTGGTAAGATATCGTCAATATCCAATTCTGCTCACTTTAATTATTTAATGACTCAGAAAGAGAAAGCACTTTATCTTTGCCTTGGTGGCCTGCTGTAGACCAATATTATTATTATTTTTTGTGGCAACACTAACTGGACAGTCACCATATTGGTAGACAACAGCATTGCATGGAGTACAACTGAACACCGGAACCTTTTTTGGGGTGATTGCCTATAATGTGTTAATGCAGTAATTGAGACTGTCTTGTCTTTCACAAAGTACCACTGGACAAATCAACCAAGTGTTAATGATATCCTATGCATCACATCTTTATTAAAGCTTTAAACGAACCATTGAAAGAACACTGTGAACTCAACACTGGTGTATTCTGAAGGGGGGGGGGGGTGTAGTGCTCCAGATCTGCCACTCAACAAAGTCCCAAGCAAGTGTATTATGGCAAGGGAAGCAGAAGGTGTGATTGAAATCTTACTGTATACTGTACAGCCCTTGGTGGGCCTCGGTGCATCAGTTTCTGTGTATTGCATTTTTTCTTTTTGTTTGTTCCCCTCAATTTTTTTTTTCTCTCTCCCAGTGCAAAGACGATACTGGGGTTACTCAGTTGTCTTCTCCTCCTCTGTCATTTGATGAGGACTTTGCGGACGTCGTGAAATTGCTTTTAAGCGACGTGGCAGCTCATTGTGGCTTGCCTCGGTCAATTTAGTGGGCTGTTTTTTATTTACTGTATATAAAATAAAATATACAAGCAATACTCAGTCTGGTGTACTACTGTTTTCTAACTTGATTGTAGCATTCTACATTCATATTTGTTTTTCCCTGAGACCTGCAAAGTAGATGCAACCACACTAAAAGTGAGATTTTGGCCATCTGATTAAGTACTTGTCCAAGCTGTTACCTAACTGTTTCAATATTTTTACATTTCATTAGATAAACAGAGATGTTAGTCAGTTTGCATACATTTGGAGAATTGGATTGACCCCAGAGAAAGACAACCATATTTTAACAGGATGTTTTGCATCTGTTGAGCTTTTCCAATCGCACCAGACGTTTAATGTGGTTTAAGATTCCAACTGTTAGGTAATGGTTTTTTGCTGAGCTTTAGGCCCCTGCCTTTACAGATTGATGCTACATGATTAACTAAATCGTACGTCACCATTCTTTAACCTGAAACGAGCTAGTAACATACTAATGACATGATGGTCATTTGATGTGTTTACAAGTCATATTCTGGTCAAAGTTCTCAGCTGTTTGTGTCAAACCTAAATCATCCTCTTGCCGTGACACACTCTCTCATACATACATATTATTTGTTAAGTTTTGTTTGTCTGAGAGACTGAACCTCTTTGTGCTGATAGCTTTGGCCTGTGGCATGGCATCTGCGGTGTCGTTAGGCTATGTTTATGTCAGAGGAATTCCCGGGATGGAGCCATAAACCTTCATGGATGTACTATGGGGCAATACATGGGTGTGTACATTGCAAGAGAGCAAAGATGCTTTTAAACGTTTTTAATCTTCAGTTGGATTATTATCTGTCGAGATAAAGAGGGGGGGCTGTGCGTCAGTTACTCTTGATTTAAGCAGAGATGTTGATTATTGCTTGTGTGTCGCATTTATAGCCTTTTGTGATTAAACTCGTGGTTTGAAAAGCAAGCCTGTTTTTTTTTTTTTTTTTTTTTTTTTTTTTAAGATGAGGGTTGGTTGAGCCACAAGCCCAAGAACTCAGCTTGGATCTGACTCAAGAAATAAAAAGTATCTTGCAGCAGAATTAAAAAAAAAAAAAAAATGCAGAAATCAGGCTGGCAGGATGAACATTGCCAAAGGGAGAATCACTGCGGTGCCGTGCATTGTGAGATACTGCAGGCTGGGCCTCTCGGCACACCCAGGCCGTCTGTTCCCACCAACAACGGAGGAATAATGGCTAATTAAATTAGTCACTAATCAAGATCTCCTGCGCTTACCCTTCCTCCCCAGGCTCAGCTGCCCCTGGGTTAAGAGCATGGAAAATGAGTCCCAGAGCTGTTTCACATACTCAGGAGAGAGTCACATGCACGCAAGGGTTGGTACGCTGTGCCACAGAGACTGATGCGTTGCGCCAAAATATTCATACATGCATTTGGTGAGGGGATAGGTGATGGTAGTTTGGATAGAATAGGGATGATTTATAGAATATAAAGGGGGAAAAAAAATTATTTGTATGCCCTTATTGAGAATGGTATGTCTAATTGCAGAACTTTACTATGATTAACATGGATGAGAAGTACACACAAAGAACACCCAAGTGATTAAATAATCCTGAGTTACGGGAATGGTAGGACCAATTTAAACAGCATTGCCTTTTTGAGGAAAAATAGACCACATATGAAATCCCATGCAAACAAACATCATTTGTGCACTATGGGAAAAAGTCTAAAACCTGTCTCTGTAGACATTTCTTTGGTATTAAGTAAAGTTGTAGTTGAGTAATATTGTTTTTCCCAGAGGAAGGTCTGTTTCACAAAGAATGCAATAATTTTTACAAGGTCATTTATGCTGCTGTCTGCCCAAGGATACATTGTTATTTTTGGGCTCTGACTTTTATTTATTTATTTATTTATTTATTTATTTATTTATTTTTAAATGCTTTTGTTTCCCCCTTACCTGTTACTATAGGGTTGAAAGCATTATCCCAAGTGCTTCTAACACACTCCTGGGTAAAAAATAAATACAGTGGTACCTCAGTTCTCGAACTCATTAGAACTCGAATTTCTTAAAAGTCGAACCAACCAGTTCGAAAAAAAAATTACCTAGAACTCGATCTGAATTTCATAAGTCAAACCGTGAACCGTGAAGATAACTTGTACACGTGAGGAAATGAGTCACTCGGCACGTCTCTCAGCGGAAACAAAGGGTAAGGCTTCAGTGTCAGCTTTGCATTCGTTGTGATAGCATCGTGCATGTTTACACTATAGCTGAATACATATATTTAGACAGTAAAAATACATTTAGACAATGATAGACAATAACAGTGATTATTATTATTATATAATAAAATACATTTCAAAATAAAGATTTCTTATTTTAATATTAATAATAAACCATTAATACATTTAATTATAATAATATTGTTCTGCGGAACAGGGACGGAACGGAGACAAAGGCGCAGACTTCAGGGTATCGGAGAATACGGGGTTTAATTACAGGTAAGGCAGGCAAAACGCAGATGGACAATACAATGACCGGACTGGGGAAGCAAACTGAAACGTGGACGAAATACAGAGGACTCATGACAACAACCAGAAACAGCTCATCACATGGGGATTCCACATGGGGTTAACGAGGGGGCGTGGCACACGGAAGGAGGTGACGATTGGGGCAGGACACTTTTTTTTTTTAACTTTACACATTGTTTGGATACATTTATTTTCTTACTTTACAAATTACTGTTTTGATAAACGTGCTTAGATGTGTTTAGTACAGTATATGCTCTTCTTGTTTTATCCGGTTCATTTTGCGTTTAAATGCTAAAAAAACATATTTAGGTGTAATTGTTTGGGGCCGGGAACCAGTTAATTGGTTTTCCATTATTTCTTATGGGGAAAATTCAATCAGAACTCGAACTTTGTAGGTTTCGATCTGGAGTTCTGAACGGATTAAGTTCGAGTTCTGAGGTACCACTGTAAATAAATAAAATAAAGGGCCAAACCCAAAACTGCAAAACAGCAACGATTTTAACAGCAAATAGCTAGAAGGTATTTTGAAAAATTTTGAGCACCAAGGCATGTTAGTTTGAATTTTATATCAAACACATTTTTTTTATTTTATCTTTGCATACAAGACGACGATATAATATACATGAATTTCCCTATTTGCAGGTTTCTAGCCACCCCCCAACAGTTCAGTGCGGCAATGAGAAATCGTGGCACAGATACCGGGAGTGAATTGTTTTTTTTTTTTCCTAATTATCTGACCAATGATTTGTTCATAAAACCATTAAAAGGCAGTCCACGTTTTTGCTTCCTCTCACGTTTCTGCCAGAGCAAAAAACGTGGACTGTCTGGCCGGGGAGGGGGTGGGAGCGACAACAACAACGTGGGCTGTCTGTGGTTCCCCAAGGACCGGGTTTGGGAAACACTGCATCAGAAAATAGTATGAACATCTGTTAGCAGGCCTCCGTTCTAACGTGACCCCTTCAATCCTCCCCCTCAGGGGACACACTTTTCGGTTCCGAGTTGAATGACCAGGTTGAATTCACACATAAACAAAAGCTTTTCATTATATGTGCCTGTAAGTGTGGCTGTGCCTCGCTCGCAGAATTCTGAAGAATTGCTCACGGGCAGCATGTCTGAAATTAAACAAGCAAGCTCCTTTTTTTTATAGCATCAAGGAAGTTGAATATGTTCATAGTTAAAGAGACTTGTTTTGCAGGAAATATTCAATACTCAAGGAATGTAGACCTTCAATGGAGAGTTTATGTTTAGTACATTGACCATTTATATATATATATATATATATATATATATATATATATATATATATATATTTACCATATATATATATATACCCATTAGTCTATCACACTAGTATTTTTTGGTACAACATGTTCCTTGTCCTACCCAGGAGTATCAGACTACAAAGGCTTATTTCATACAATGAAAGTAAAAACACTTAGACATGAACATAACAAATCCTTTTTTTTTACTTTTAAATCTGAGATATGTTTAAAATGATTATTTTAGATTCTCTTGAAGACATAAAGCTTCGTAAAACTATAGATTTTCGTGTGGAGGAGCAGAATTGCAGGCTATCTACAGTAAATTAGAGCTGGGGGGGAGGTGACAGACAGATTATTCAGCTGGTTACTCATTAACACAGTCTGTCACTCTGCTTGTTCATACACATTTTCAGCTGAATGAGTCCTATGTGCCTCAGCATTCAGGAAAAGGGGGAGAGACTGAATTTGTCATCGGAAAACAGCCATCATTCCTATAACTTCTGTAAAGAATACATTTTGAGAAGATTATCCAATTTCACAGGTTAAAAGGATGAAAGTATAATGCACGTATTACGTTGTTTTTGTATCAAGTTTTAATTAAGCAATCTTGTTTTCAATGGTGAAGTGTGTAAATTTAACGCTGCTATGAAAAAAAAACTGCTCAGATCATTTGTCCAATAAGCTAACAATACATGTGTTGGTATATTAATATCAGAAAGTGTAGCTGACTTCCTGCTTTTGAATGAATCCCTTTCATAAACATATTTCTGTTGTTGTCCCTATAATTTCAGATAATTTCCATTCCTTGTGCAGATGTCATCTACAACACAAAGGATTAATCCAGTAGGTTTAGGGTAATGAGTGCTCTCTTGATGCTGTGCGATTGTTTATATTACATTAATGTGAGCCAGTGACAGCGTGCTAAAACTTCACCCTCCTGATAATAGGGGAGAGGTTAAGCTAACATGCTATTAAATGGTATCTACAGCGGAAATACTGGAATGTGGGTATGATTGAGATACTGTCATTGTTTCTTTTGAGTATTGTACCCGGTAAACTATGTAGTAGCTAGGGAGAGCTGGTGAACAGAGATCAACTTACGCGAAGATGCAGCGCACTTTATGAAGCATCGCAAAGCTTAGCGTTACTGATATCTTATCCATTGAATTGGTGTGGAGACTTCAGTGCAAGAAGAAAAGTAATTAATTAAAAGAAACCTAGAATTAATAGAATAATGGGATGTTTGTGTACTGTTTTCAGGTTGATATTTCAGTGTGGCTCTGG